TGGGTACAATGAACCTCATCGCACTTCGCGCGTGAAATTGTTGTTTTCGTGAAAGATATTTTGTTAGTTTCAAGATTCACTTCCAAGACCGATTCGAGTCCGATTCGCGCAATGAGCATCTCAACGCGGCTTTTCTCTATTTGTTTTCTGATTTATTAGCGCAAAATAAGCGGTGGTTGTCTGTTGTCCGCTGTGCACTCAATGTAAAATAACAGCTACACACTTATTGGTTCAGCAAAGATAATTTTAAATTATTTCATCCTAATCAAAATACAGGGTGACCACGAGCCGATCCTACGTCGGTGGTCACGCCAAAACTTGGACGAATCTGCGAGGTCTTCACGGGCGACGTTCGGCCATCAACTTTCTAAAAATTATCGGGCATCAACGCTATTCCCTTTTTTAGTCGCAGACGGCAACAAAAATTTGTTGAGGTATAGTTTAATGCATCATTTAATTAGGTAAAATTTATTTTTTTTGCTTTATGTCTGTTCTCTAGAAGCCTACCTGTATCGTCGCATAAGGCAATGGGCGTTTCCAAACGGTTCGTATACACCAGTTACGGTAGGGGAGCACGAAGTAGAGGGATACATAGGGCGAAAGGGTTGGGACCAAACTTATCAACTAAAATGAAAAATGCATGTCAGAGTGTTCTGATCTACTCAGTATCTATTTTAAGGGTAACCAGGGTTGAAAAGCCGCTTCGCGACTTTTCAACCCTGGCCCCGTCTCGGACCCCATACTATTCTGCCCCTGGCATAATTGTCCTCCATTCAGAAGACAAAAAAAAAGAATAACAACCCTTTCTGCCTCTTTATATAGGCGACGGCCCACTTCCGGTCTATGCTAATTTTTCCTAACAAAGAGGTTTTTACAAAACCTTAAATTTAATAGCGAAAATGGCTAATTTTTAAAAATCTGATATGTGTGCAGTCATCCATAGACCATTACGCACCTAATGACGTATCATACGTAGCCTAATACCCGTCCCTTCTTGAGATATCCTCCGGACAGACAGACGGAAGTGGATGCAAAGTGGCACACACACACACACACAGACACTATTTTTTTATATAGTAGGATTTTCCACTCCACTCCAAAACACGCCGTTGGTATATTTTTCAAAATTTATGCCAGAAAAAAAGTCTGACAGGTGTGAAAACAAGGTTTAATGATTTGGCATCAAACTTGGCCGAGCGGTATGTTATCTTATGCTCGATACATGGCAATCCCTACCTGGAAAACCGTAAACTCCAAGAAAGGGTTGTGAGCAATATTGAATTGACCCACGGTATAACAAAGTAACGCCACCAAGTCGATTAGAGGTAGTCCGGCTTGGAGGACGAGGCACTAGGGACGACCTCCAGAATCTATCGAATTCGTACCTTAACTAATTGCTTATGGATTGCCCTCGTCCTCGCGCTCATCGAGGCTTTCTTCAAAAGCTTATGAATTTTATATCGTAGTATCGTGACGATAAGATAGACTGGTGTTGGCATCATTGTGATCCAAAGGACAGTAAATAAAGTCGCGAAATTGAAGATATTGACATGGCCGGATAACGTTAAGCCTTAAAGGTATAAGTTGCTGGCAATATCAGTACTTGGCCTACAACTAACTACTAAATGAGCACTGAATTACCGGTCAAATTATAGGATGGGTAACGTTCGACCATAAATTCACGGACGACTGGCTCGGGATCATCAGCAAAAGTGAAGGAAATCTGCAAAGATAATAGTTTTTTATTATATGCGGATATTTTGCGGTCAAAATTCGTTGCTACTGCTTACCCCTTGAAAAAGTGAAGGTATATACAAGGCAATACATACAAAAATAGATTGTCGTGTTCCTGGACAGCCCTAGAAAATCGTTACTTTCCAATAGAAATTATCTAGGCTAACAACCTTTTCCAAGATCCACCATCGATATCCAAAACTAATTATTAAAGAAGCCAAGCTGTGAGCGTAACAGTGGAGTAGGAAAGCGTAGCCAACATAGCAAGTCCGAGGCCCAAAATGAGTGCAAATACCGTAGGAAATATAGGTAAGGGATTGACCGTTTGGGAGTATCCTGTAAAACAGTAAATTTTAGATAGTTGTTATAGAACAGTTAGGCAAAATAACCCACCGCTGCATCACAAATATCCCCAAAATGCACGTAACAAATTCGGTAATAGCAAAATTGGCCAGATAGACCGCGTATACCCTCAGGTTATGAGGTGTCCGGTATATGATCAGCAATATTAGAATGCCGTTGCCAAACAGGCCAACGAGGTTGATGATCCAATGAAGGGATTCGTTGATGGCTTCGAAGAGCATTGCCTACAAATGGTAGTTTTTCCGGAACTACCGGCTAGGCCTGAAGACTGGTAAATGAATTGGCGAGAGAAAAGGCCGTCTCACGAACGAGTTCTTTCGGTCAGGAAAGTGGAATGGAGTGAACGGCTCGAGCACCTGCACGATTCGGTGATTAGGTTTTTGATGTCTATTCGGCGACAAGCGGGTTTGACCAACTATATTAGTAGTATAGGCTTATACGCATATAGGCATATATGCGTAAACGTGTAAGTATAATCCATTATTTTTCCAAAATTGAATGCACTAATAGATGCCCTGACCGATACAAACAGCGCAGTATATTTTCGTACCGCTCCGAAAACAAATCAGCACCACCGGCCGTCGAAAGTAATGTGGTGGACGCGCGGAAATTCATTTACTTTTTTCACGTCCCGATCAGCTGCTAACGAACGCAATTGTGGCGCGAATTTTCGATACGAAGAATCCTCCGCACAAACTATTATTTATTCATTTTGTAATTCTTAGAATGGTTTCTGCATGGTTGAACAGCTTATTCGCGATAAATAATCTATATGAAATGAGTTTTGGCTAAGCCCATCATGACCAGGAGGTCCGCTTTTGAGACCGTTACGAGGGGTGATACACGTTTAAATAGACTTAACTTGTCATGCCATTTCAACATTTTGTCGTTGGTACAGTCTGGCGATTCTGTGTACAATCTGGCCCCGGTGTAGTTCGCATTTCTCAGCGCCTCTACCCTCTACGAGCACTCTCTCACTTTCCCGATGCAGGCTAGTCCGGAATACAAGCAAGCCAAACAGGGCTATTCCCTAGGTTTCACGCCTTTTTCTTATTTTTGAAGCGATTAAGGAAACCTTACTAACTACATTCCAAGCTTTGGATTTTATTATTTCTTCCTAGGATCTTATCGCGGGGTTTTTTGGATGTATCGTGCCCGGCAGGATTAGGGCATATTTCTTCACCTAAACAAACCTCCTTGTTACTGTTGTTCTTTTCTTGAATCTATCTATTCAAGTATTTTCTGAAATATTGGGCTTTAGGTAAAGGGCGCCATGAAGTTTGTCGATCTTCCCATCGCTTTCCACAAACGCCTTCTCGATTTTATTGGCAGCTCAGATCCGAAGACCCGATTCCGCTATGCGCGCGCCAATCGCATGCTGTGGAAAATGACCAAGGACTCAGCGGACAACTTTGTGAATTACACCATTGACATCCGTCGAAATTACTTGAGTATCTGGGTGTGCGGACGCCCTTGCATTCGACTCGAAAGTCGCCGGACTCAAGAATTGCTATTTTCCGGCTCTACCGTGGCAAGGGTTTGCATATCCGATCCAAGCTCAATGCCAGACGGGCTGAAGGCAATCCGATTGAAATTTCTAGTTCCACTATCCGAAAGACGAGTACTCGCTCTGCTGGAGTCGATGAAGCCGCGGGCAGGGAAATACCTAGGGGTCGATATTGCAGCTAACAATCTGACCCCGCATTTCATAAAATATGCAAACGCGAACATCCAAGCATGTATATTTCGGGACTTCTTCGATCTAGAACTGGCCCCACAGCTGAAGTGCCCCAATTTCACCATTAGTGTCAAATCATCAAATAGCGAGAAAATTCAGCCAATCATCGACGGTTGGGTGGCCGAATGGAAGGAGGGGCAAAGAGAAATCGAAAATAATGAGATTAGAGTCTATCCTCGGGCCCGTTTGACCCTAGAAGATCACCTCCGAGCGGACGGCCAGCTAATTCGAATGATTTATAAGGGGAGGGTGGCTGGAGGCGTCGATCGTTATCTCATTAAACGATGTTGAAACAATAGTTAAACCGATTGCGTTTTCGCATGTTTTTTTTTGCTATGTATGAATAAAGCGGCATCGTGACGTTTTTGGGCGGGGGGGGGGCAAGATTCTGCGGGTTCGAGCTTACAAGGGGAACCTCTCAGTCTCGGTGGGGCTTCAAAACGGGACCTAACACATTTTTTGCAAAATTTTTGCTGATTCCGAATCTGTGTTCAAAAACTGCGAGAAGCTCGGATTCAAACGTTATAACATTTGAAGTCCATTTTAAGCAAAAATTGCCAAACTGTCGCACACTGGTAAACTGCGGCCTAGAAGCACCCATGTTATAATGAAATATACCGTTCGAATCAAAACAAAATTCTCTATCAGGTAGACTATTGTTGGTAAATCAAAAGTGAAAAACAAAAACGGACGGCATCATGGCCAAACGATTCCCGGGGGCCAAAAACGGCACCTAAATGCCTCATCACTTTTGAATCCCGGCTAGTTCGCAGTTTTTGAAAACAGGTTCGAAATCAGCATAACAGTCTGCACAGGATAGGTTAGGTCTCATCTCGAAATCCTTAGCAGGATCCCTTGTTAGGCTTACAATTAGGAACTAAAAATGTGATGCGTGTGGTCAAGAAGCGCAAACCATAAATAACAAAGCAAGCACGGGCGACAACATAAAATAAGGGCTAGAAGTTTCATTTTTTGATGTCCAGAAATACTTTGCAAACACTTTTAGTTACCTTTGTTTAGTTTGAAATTTTAGTTAACTAAACGAGAAGTCCATCCAAAAAGACTTGCAAAAATTCATAATTTTTCTTGAAAAAATTGTGGGCCATAAAGTTGTTTAGAAACACCGCTCTATTTTTGTTAGAAATTAACCGGAAGTTTTTATTCACATAGCAATCTCGCTCATTTCCCTCCCATCGCCGATTATGATCGTCGGATTGATTTGTGAGGGGCCGATTGGGCCCATTTTTACCACCGAGGTCGGCTCCTAAAAAATATATATATCTAAATAATAAATAATATATATGAATATCGAGGTGGTACCTTACCAATTGTTGTTCCATTCCGATCAATCGTCGATGCATGGCGCTCACGATAAACCTGCGGTATGGGGACACGAAATAAAGCGAGAGATAGGGAGATATTACCGGGACGAGGCCCGCTATCTGAAAGGTACAACGTTAACTATCTATCGTCAAAAGCGTTAAAGTGTAGCTTTTCATATATAGGGTCTTACCTGAAATACAGAAAACTCCAGGATTGGTGAATGTAATAGCTCAAATTGCTCTACCGCATAGCATAAAACAGCCATAGTATCAAGAAGTGGTAGACAAGCCTGGAGCACAAGAGCCTAAAATTAATCAGACGTATGAGGCAGTAAGTTTGTCATACCTTAACAAGCTGTCGATGCACTTCCTTCGTCTTCGGACTCATCGGCACCTTCGCAAGAATTTTGTGAATTTTCTTACGGAGGATCGTGACGATAATTGAAACCGGTACACATGTAAGTGTCAACCAGAAAATCGTGAAGAGGGTGGTGAAGTTGAAGATGTCTACATGACCGGAAACGGTCAAACCTTGGGGAAATGTAGGCTCTAAACTACAGAGATTACCCGTTAAATTGTGGTTCGGAAAATTTTGGATCATAAACCTTCTAACAACTGGTTCCGGATCGTCAGCATAAGTGAACGAAATCTGGGAAATTTCTTTTTTTTTATATTCACGATTACCGCTTGAAACAGCGATGGCAGATACACGATAAAACAGATTCCGATCGATGGATTGATGCCTATTCGGGGCTAAAAACTTAGATCATCGGAGTTTAGCAAATTTCACCTTGGTTAATATATACCAGCGATACCAAAAAGATATGATAAATGACACAAGACTATGAGCATAGCAATGGAGCAGGAAAGAATAGCCAATATAGCAAACCCGAGAACCCCAATGGGTGCATGGGCCATACGAGATGTATGTCAACGATTTGCCGTAGGGCAGGATCCTATTAGTAGACAAATGATATATTACGCATAAAGTTCAAAAAAAGTACCGCCATTATTCATAGACGAACACCCTTGGCAAATATACCTTTGCATGACAAACGCAGCCAAGAAACAAGTAAAAAACTCGGTGATCGCAAAGTTGGCCAAATAAACCGAATAAACCCTCAAATTCTTCGGTGTACGGCAGAATATTAAGTATATAAGCAACCCATTCCCCATCAGCCCGAAAGCATTCACAATCCAGTGCAAAAACTCGTTATACGTCACCAGATCCATAAGATGGTAGTCTAGGTCGGGGTAAGAGTTATCCAGAAATATCCGGCGTAGACATCAGAGCCCGGGCTCAACTATTGCGGGAAGCATTCCGGGAAAGGTGGTGCAAATTATTCCCGGAATGCCTTCTCATCTATTGCGGGAATTCCAGACATGGATTCCCGGAACTCCATTCCGGGAACGGTTCCCGGAATGAGTTCCCGGAATGTCGTCTCATGTATTCCGGGAAACTTTTCGAGTTTCCCGGAATGTAGTTCCGGGAATGGTTTTATATAAGGTTTGGTTCCCCGACAAAATCTCGGGGACAGCATTCCGGGAATCGATGTTCCCATTGCTCAAATTTTCTGAAATTTTCAGGAGTTGTCTAGACACTCGTTATTTGCCAGCCCGCAAAATCTCGTAGTGAACAATCGGTTCTGAGGCCGGTTTTGGAGGTCCAAAATAGCATTAAAAATGCGATACGTTTTCCTGATCTCCGATGCATGCACACTGCGCCGTTGTGCATGAAGTTGACATTAACTTTAGAAAGAATAATTTCTAATTTAGAATTTAGGATTTTAACGCCATCATGATTCCGGGACGCTCCGGGACATTCCGGGAACCATTCGGGGAAACATTCCGGGAATGCGCCTCTCATTCCCGGAATGCGTTTCATCTACATTGCGGGAAACCATTCCGGTAACTACTTTCCCGGAATGTAGATGAGACGGCATTGCGGGAAAAAGTGGCTACTTTCCCGCAATGTTTCCCGGAATATTCCCGCAATGTTCCCGCAATGTTCCCGCAATGCGTTCCCGGAATGATTCCCGCAATAGTTGAGCCCGGGCTCTGGTGGGAGATTGGCACCTTACGTTTTTTTCTTCAAAGCACCTGGCGGCTGCGTCTGGAAAATTTCGGTTAAAATGTGATCGGTAAATGAAGCTGGAAATGGGGAATGTGATGCATAGATATTTATATAGTTGCCCTTCTACCGTTATTGGTCTGAGTCTCTCTCACTCTCGCTTTCTCTCACTCTCTCGCTCTCTCTCGCGCAGACCCTCTCTCTATGAACCTCTCTATCGCTCTAACGACACGCAACACGCACCCATTCGTTTAGAGAGCGAGAGAGAGACATAGAGAGCTAGAAAGAGAGAGAGAGAGAGAGAGAGAGAGAGAGAGAGAGAGAGAGAGAGAGAGAGAGAGAGAGAGAGAGAGAGAGAGAGAGAGAGAGAGAGAGAGAGGGAGAGAGAGGCAGTCAGGCAGAAAGAGTTTTTTACAAGCACATAAAAGCAAGATAATAAAAAAACTAGATTGCTTGTCAGGTTCCTAAAACTCATAGTTTCGCAAATTTGCAGAAAGACAACCCGCTAATAAACAAAACCTTTTTGTACGATAACAAGTCCGGTAAAATGCATTAATAGAACGTGTCTTGATCCCCAAATCATTCAAAGAAACGACGGAAAATATATTCGCGGAGCGGCCGGATCCAATTTCCCGAAGTATGGGCCACTGTTATTTTGTCTGACAGCTTCTGGCTACGTAGAAATTGAAGCCGCCGGCTGTTTTCTCAGAATGCGCATACAAAAATCAGGTGCTATGTGTTTTTACGGATTTTCTGCATGTTTGGAAGTTTTCCACGACAGTTGGGGGAACATCGAAAAGTGTGTCTCTTAATTTAGGCTGAGATAAGATTTAAACCAAGTAGGTTTAGATCCGCTGCACAAAACGGAAGCTGTATGAATATCACCTAACAACCTATTTCCACGCTACAAAAACACTTCGTAATTCAATTTCCGCTTTTTCGGGGCAATTAGTTCGTTTCTGTATATTGAGTGCAGATCCGGGGGATGTTGCCTCAATAGCGTCTGGATGGACTTGAAAAAACAAATTACGTGTTTTAGACTTTTTTGTTGTTCAGTTCCGTTTGTGTACGGTAGAAACCATCATAAATTCCGTTTTCGAAGGCTGGAAAAATTGGATTGCGTTCTAACCAGTACCAAATTTATATAGAGGAAGAAATGACATGTTACAAGGTGATTTCTCCTCCAGATTCGAGTTTTTCGGGGTCGGAGGTGGTCAACGATATTGCTGGGCCTGGTTTGGAGCTTTTTGGTGTTGGTGGAAGGATGTGGCTGGCGCTGTCCTAAAGTTACTTGAGTAACGACATCGATAACCATTTTATCTATGCTAATCAGCCTTCATTTTATCCTTAACGTATCTTACTCTCAATTTTAAAGTAACCCATTAAAAATCGCACATAATATTTGGTTTTGCCCGGCTTGCCGATGTGCAGGAATCGCTTGATCGCTCTCCGGTAGGGAGACACGAAATACAGCGAGAGAAAAGGGGCGATCACCGGGACGAGGCCGACAATCTGGAAAACAATAGGGTTGATAGGGTTGTAAGAGGATGAATTACGTGAAAAACAAGGTATTCTAGAAGTGGGTGCTGGACGATTTGGAGTTGTTCCACGGCGTAACACATAACGGCTCCAGAGAAGAGGAGAGGGAGACAAGCTTGCAACCAGAGAGCCTGGAATGACAGGTCTTAAAGGGATAGATAAAGGTATCATAATCGACCCGTTCAGTTATCTCAATAGCTACGTGAAGCACAAAAACAAGCGGGCGCCATTTGGCGCCGCGTGTAGCTGTTAATCTCATTGTAAGTCGATGCGCGGTCCATTAGGTCTTATGTCTATTTTAGCTGTCATGCTAAAATTTTTAGGAATTGCGATACCTTCACAAGTTGCCGGTGAACTTCTTTTGTCTTTGGACTCATTCGGACCACTTCAAGGACATTATGAATTTTATTCCGAAATATCGTGACGACAACGTAGACGGGTGCGCATGTTAGGCACAGCCAAAGAATCGTAAATAACGTCTCGAAATTCACAATTGACAAATGACCCGAGATGGTCGTTCCTGAAATGAAAATGTATAATTTTATATCCTTGACAATTTTTGGCCTTTCCAAGTTTCCCCGGCATTTTTTTGCCCTCAACAACCCGAACCGCTGTAAGAAATTAGGGGACCTGTCCAATTTTGTGCCGGGAACTTGGTAAGGAGGATTTCACGGATGGCCGGCTCGGGGTCAGTGGAGAACGCGAATGTGATCTGGGAAAAAGAAATGGAAAACAGAAACGAGACGTGAATTACGGCCTGGACGAGTGACGGGATGTAGACGAGCAGACAGATTATTACACACCGGCAGATGCTTGGTGTTAACTGGAAAATATTTTTGGCTAAATACGAAGCCGTTTGCGTCGATTAAATGACTTTAGCCGAAAACTAAGGTACTGCTGCGTACTACATACGGTGTAACACCCACCCTGGTAAGGATATACCACCTATACCAAAATGAGGGTATCAACGAGACGAGTGTGTGTGCATAGCAGTGCAACATGAGACAGTATCCGATGTGGCAGGCTCGGGATCCCCAATAAGTACATGGGCCGTACGCCACGTACGCAAGGAAGCGACCGTCCGGCAGCATCCTGAAAAGACTACAGTTTTGGGGGCTCATTGGTGATAAGAAAAGGCCGAGCGGTGTCCTGATCAGCCCATTTCTCCATCAAAACACGAGCCAAAAATCATTGTTCCATATGGCTAAATGATTTTTATACTTTCTACGCTTTTTCCAGTAGTTTGAGATATACTTTCACCGCTGAATAATACGTTATTACTTGCTTTTCAAAAGTTACTTACTTATTATTAGTTTTTAAAGCTATGATTAATGTCTAGACACTTCCAAAACCCACCGCTGCATAACAAATATCGCCAAAGCGCACGCCGTGACATCCGTAAAAGCGAAATTGGCGAGAAACACGGCATATCTCTTCAGATTTTTTGGTGTTCGTGTAAAGATCAAAATAATCAGCACAATATTAGCAAAGATTCCAATTAAATTAGTCAGCCAGTGGATGAACTCGTTCAGAAACGAACCATCCATTCGCATGATGTTTTTACGGGGCCGGGAATTTTCGGTCTGGGTACGCTCTGGGGTATTTGATCATTGGCATGCCGCCGCAACATCTTGATGTGGGGACCTCGGGAATTTTTGGGGATTAATTAGGTTTTAGCTGGAGGTTTCTCGGGCGATGATGGCTACTTTTCATCGTATAATTCGTTTGTGATTAGTTTCAACATTCGCCAGATAAATTATCTAAAAACCTTGTCAAAATACCTTTATACCTTAAGCGTGAATTCCAACTTTTCCTGTCAACAATTTTAATCTCTAAGCACGACGGCACCCATTACAAAGTGTGAAACATTCCATAGCCAGTTTTCATCGACAGGCCTGATCCGACAAACATGATACGGCATAGTAACACCTCAAAAGCAGATAAAACGCAAAATCTGGTTCTTCTTTGACACTGACAAAATGTTTCTCATCTTAACGGGCCTATTACTTATAACTTTTGCCACTTGGCAATTTTACCGTCGGTCGAAGCTACCGCCTGGCCCATATCCTTGGCTTTTTCTCGGAAATTTACCACATAAACTCTAGTTGTTTCATGTGAAAAAGCTTGATACTATTCAAGCTAATCAATACTGGACAGAAAGCTATGGGAAGGTACTTTCATAATCTCAATTTTTTTATGCCGGATCTATCTCAAAAATAGCGACTAACAATTATCCGTTTTAGGTCTACACTTTTTGGATTGGTGCGGTTCCCGTGGTCAACATTTGCGACTACGATGTACTCCAGCAAGCCCTTGTGCGCGACGACTTTTTGGATGCGTATCTTCAAGAGCAAGAATTGGTAGCGACTAATAAGAAATCCTGGGGCACTTTCAGGTTTGTAACGACCTCCATTTTCGCCCGTATTTCTAGGCTGAAAACGTAGCTGCGACGACAATTCGATGATATTCCTGAAATTCCAAATGAACAACCGTTTTTTAGTGATTACGCGCTTTACAACGAAAACTCGAAAACCCACAATTGGAAGAGTTTGTGATTCCATTCCTTGTTGGTCGTGGTGTCTGTTTTGGAGAACCGTTGGCTAGGAATGAGATCTATCTAGTAGCATTTGATGGTTTATATAAAGCTAAGATTTTTAGTTCCTTGCAAACATCTTCCCAAAAGCTTCATTTCATTTCATTCATTCATTTCCCATCGGCGCGGAACCCCGATTCGTCTGGATGGATGGATCAACCGTGTCAAGCCGTTCAAGATTCGATTCACCAAATTGCAACAATGAATGTCATCATTTTTCGCATATTGGTAATCTAAATAAATCATTAAACTAAAATGACAGCTATTTTCATTCTGGCCTTGTGGTTAGGCATCAAAATATCTCCTCCAAGTACGGAATTTGTTCCTTTTGATGCTGCTTTCTGAGTTTTCTATGTGTTTCCGCCATTTCCCTGTATCCGCCAAAATATCACACTTTTTATTGCCATTTACGTGGTCCCGCCCTACTGAAAAACATGATACGCCGAGGGTAATAGTAACTGAAAAACAGATAAAAGGCAGATCACGTTCCTGCTTGTGGCTGGCGGCATGCTTTTAATCCTCACCTCGCTATTACTCATTACCTTCGCGACTTGGCAATATTTTCGTCGATCCAAGCTACCGCCAGGTATTTGTAGCTCACTAAATATAATATGCTTTTAGGTCCCTATCCATGGCTTTTCCTTGGGAATTTGCCCGAAATACTTTATCTCTTACACGTGAAAAAGCTGGACACGATACAACTTAATCAAGACTTGGTCAGACGATATGGAAAGGTAATGGAATTATAATTAAACTACACCTTCAACAATTCTTTCAGGTATATACAGTCTGGGTATGCGCCGCACCAGTGGTAAATATCGGCGACTACGAGACGATCCTGCAAGTACTCGTTCGCGATGGGGCAATAAATAGCAAACGTTATGAGGCCCCATTTCTCTGCGTCGCCAGAACGGGTAGTTCAAATTCTGCGCTTAAAAATATAACTTGCCAAAAATTTAAGTCGTTTTTAAGACAAAAATGATGGTCACGTGTACGGTACGATGATGGCAAACGGGCAAATATGGGAGGAACACCGGAAGTTTACGCTTCGAGTGTTGAAACAGCTTGGAGTAGGGAGAGGGATTATTGAAGATCGAATCCTTGACGGTACGGTATCGTTTTTAGTATAAAAATTAATAAACACTGCTTAGAACTCGACTATCAAACCGCTGAAATTGACAAAAGGCTTGTGAACAACAACACGGCAACATTGGAATTTAACCGGATTTCGGATCTATTTGTCGGCAACACGATCAATAGCATTCTTTTTGGATACCGTTTCGATGAGGTAACGCATTGCACTGTATACTTTCAAATAACTTTATTAAATCCAGGAAAACTACGCAAAATTCCACGCCGTCAAGGCCCCTCTTGATGACGCCTTTGCGTCAATGACCGGCCTGCACAACTTTATGCCCGACTTTATTAAGTATATTCCGGTCTTGAAAAGGTTGGGGGATTTCTTGAGTCTAACACTTGACGATAATTTAGAATGCACCAACATATTATTCAACCACAAGAGCGGGTGCTTGAATTTGCGATCGAGGAAGTGAAAAAGAGGTAGGTCATAATGTCTTAAAGGCTGCATTTTGTGTGATTTTAGAGTTGAAAGCATCAAAGAAGGTACTTGGTCAATTGAAGGGGAGCCTCACGACTTTTTGGATGCATATCTGCAAGAGCAGGAATTGGTGGCGACCAATCAGAAGACTTGGGATACTTTTAGGTTCGTGACCAACTTCTAAGATTACCGACTATAAACTCCGAATTTGTAGTGATTTTGCCCTGTACAACGATATTGTCGATATCTGGACGGCTGGCCAAGAAACCACTTCACTCACCCTCAATTGGGCTTTTATTCTATTAACGCGCCATCCTGACGTGATTGAAAAATGTCGAGCGGAGGTCAGATTCCACTAATATACTTTACCAATATTTTTAAGGTACTCGCCCTAACCCATGGCCATCGACACATCAATATGGTAGATAGAGACAAGACACCATATATGAATGCCACAATAACGGTATGAAATGCTAATTCATTAATAGCCAGAGTTTTATTTTTAGGAAATCATGCGTCGTGGACATATTCTAAATCTAAACATGGCCCGCGAAACAACTGTGGATTGTAAATTCGGGGCATACACCGTTTCCGCTGGGACTGTATTCACGCCTAATGCCTCATTGGTATTGATGGATGAGGCTATATTCGAGGATCCTGAAAAAGTATGGGTCTTATTGCATAAGAATTACACAACATATTTAGTTCTGCCCCGAGCGTTTCGTTGAAAACCCAAAATTGGAAGAGTTTGTGATTCCATTCCTTGTTGGCCGTCGTGTCTGTTTTGGAGAACCGCTCGCTAGGAATGAGATATATCTGGTAATCCTTCTGTTTTCGTATAAATCTATGATTCTCAGTTCCTGACAAACATCATCCAACAATATTCGGTAAGCGAGGATCCGGAATTTCCTATCGACGCGGAGCCGAGGATTCGACTGGATGGCTGGATCAACAGAGTCAAGCCGTTCAAGATTCGATTTACAAAATTGCAATATTGAGCGTTATTTTTGAAAATAGTTTTAATAAGGGTTTTTGCATGAGGACGCCCAAAGATGCAGCTCACCCGATCCACCAAAATCAACCAACAAATTAATTTGGTGCTAGTACTATCGCAATGGGAGAAGTTACGGTTTTCATAACTGTTTTCCCGGTGCGACTAAACCAAATAACCAAATAGTAATCCCCTTGCATATACATAATTTGGAGGCAAATCTCTCGCGTGAAAAAGTTCCCGGTGGTTTTTCGTGATTCCTTGCATGTACAGAGGGGGGCTGTTTATCATGTTCCCCAAAAAAAGGTTGAGGAACGCCCTCTAGGAAATGCCCAATCGACGCCTAAATAAGCCAGCCGGTCGACGGTGTGCCTCAGTTTTTTAATATTTCCCTAGCAAAAGTCGACATTTCGGCCTCATTTTGTCTTGAAAAATGAGCAATCGTGCAGTAGCTGTCCTTCGAGGCGAGAAAGGCGTTGAGGGGACGGTTTGGTTGAGACAGGTTTGTTAGAAATTTGTATATTTTTTTCTTTTGATTTTGATTCGCGGTCAATAGCCTGTGGAATTTTACACGCTTTGTGAATAAAACACACCTTTGGTTGCTTTAGAAAGTGTTGATTATGTTCACACCTTTGAACGTCTATAGAAATTTCACAAATCTTGCAAAATCACATTTTATAAAATAACAAATGATACTTATTACAAGCTTTTAAGGACAAAGAAAGCCATGCTGTGAAAATCTGTGGAAAAATCACTGGCCTAGCCCCAGGCAAACACGGAATCCATATCCACGTCTACGGCGACGCGACGAAGGGTTGTGAGTCCGCTGGACCACATTTGAATCCGGATGCAAAGACTCATCGAGGACCAAAGGTATGTCAATTTGATTAAATCTGCCTCAAAACAAAACAAAAAATGCGACTACGGTTACAACATACCCTAAAATCCCGAGTATAGTCCCCCCACTACTTGTATAGTACCGGGTGTGAAGTACGTAGCGTTCGTAATTCCGTATGGCCGTAAAGAGGTGTGTTTCGTTATTCCGGTTTCTCGCAAATAACTCGTTCATGAAGAGTATTTTTGCCATTTTGATTGAAGATTTGCTCACATGTGGACTATTTCAGCATTTTGAGTGCTTTAAAGCGCACGTTCAGGGAGGGGCCGTGTACTCGTCCCAACGTGTACACCCTATGGACGTAGGGACCGCGCGCACTGCCTGCCCGTGCTGTGACAGGCCATTCCCCTCCTTTGCGGGGTGGGGCGCCCCTCGCCTCCTCGCCAGGTTGTAGCTGTGGCTGACTGGTATCCATCCGCGCCTCCCGAGCTGGGGGTCCGGGTTCGACC